CATCAACACTGACAACTACCTCTTGTACTCGATGCATTCCACACTTCTAATTCTCCTCCTCGTTATTCTCCCCGCTACTACATTTCCTCTACTCCGCCTGTGCTTGACGTTACCGCCACCCACCCTTTCATTTATTCACAGACAACTTGGACATTGATTACAGCAGATAGTTCTCACTCAATACGTCACGTTACTCATACGTATCTCATGTTTCTGTACTAACTCGCATTTTCATTCGGTCTTCCGATTCTCTTTATGTGGAGTGCTGGTGTTGAATTTTACAATAACGAAAACCATCGAGACCAGTAGTTCAAATTTACCGCAGATACCCCAACTAGTCACGAAGAATTCAATTACCTTTTTTCCTGAACCGCCGAAGTCGCCTGCGTATTTTGATTGCTCCTTTGATTAACTGAGGATTCGTGACACTTTTCCCATTTGAAGGTAATTTCGAGAAAGTCTCGTAGGTGTCAGATTGGTCACACGTAAGTCTACTAGTTGCTCCTTCACACTACTTCGACTATTTTGAGCTCGCGTGACAGGGATAGAAGCTTCGTTGAACTGTCGCACTCTTACATCACTTTTCGACATTATTAGTTCAATGATTATATCACGCCCTGTGAACTTCATCTCAACCCAAGAGCAACTTCAAAATTGTTCTACCTGGTAGAACCTGACCCGCTGAATTGTACAGAATCACTTCATAGGAACAGATGGTTCACGCTTCACTTGTTGACCATTTCACAGCGCTAGGTTGGAGAATTTGTCAGAGTAGATCTACTCCACTGCTCGCATCCCACAAGTGGAAGAGGTTTTGCTTGATGTCGATAAACAGCTTTCGCAGGGCTAGTGACCATCACCACCTCGGATCTCACGTTTCAGTTTGAAAAGCAACCTCGAGAAGCAGCAGTGAAAAGCTGCACCGGGGAAGAAGCCAGAGATATATCAATCAGCTGTATCCTTCCGGATAGCCTACCAGAATTCAACCGTTCAGAACAGCCGAATAATCGCTTCATCGAGCAATATCATCAAATGAAAAATCTAAAAAATCTGGACAGCTTAGCTGAAAAACCGTTTAGACTTGCAGATACTGACTGTTTCTCGTTACACCGATCACGTCTTGTCTTATGTTGTTTAACATAACTCATTTGACTCGACTGACACCTAACCTTTGCTTACCTCGCTCTAGGCTTGAAATTTTTTACTGCAAAGTCTCATTTATAGTTGTAATTGACGTTTGTCTGAAGAGAAAAATGAATTGTCGTTTTTTTCACCTTTCCCAAAAGTAACCCCAAAAATATACTTCAATCTAAAATACGGATTTCATTCTATCCAATCAAAAATTGGGTTATTCAGTTGGAAATAGGAGAGACCTCTATAGAGAGGTAGCACCACTGAGAGCACTTTCAAATTCTTGTCCCATTTCACGCGTTGTTCACATCAGCGTTGTGAACCTTTCGTTCCTAATGAAACGAAATGAGAAACATGACTCCAACTTCAAGGAGTAGCATTTATTAGCAGATTGCAGTAACTGAACGCTCCTATATACAATGATAAATGATAAATGCTTCATAAAAATTCTGCACTGAACAGTCTCCGTAACCAGAAGGCTGTGCTCGGAATGATTTCTTACGTTATGAAAACACAGAGGAATTGATTATACAAGAGGAAGGCGTCTCGCCAACAATATTCTGCCTTTTTAGGGTTCACTCGACCGAAAAATTCTAACGCAGACCCTCCAAATTCACAGCCGCTTCTCATCGTCTTCGCTCAACTCCTCAATGTCCCCGTTCTTCTTCGCATTTCTGTAATTATTAAATACATCAATTATGAGAATTGAACTTGTGCTAGTAAAAAAGCCCTGCGCATTCATAAGGTGTGAGGTGCCTACCCTGGAAAAATTAGACCAGCTCACTCTGAAAAATGTTCATAATGAATCATGTAAATTTACTGCTCGATCAGTATAAACTGTTACCGAGGTTTTTAGATTGAACCCTTCATTAAGTTAACAGTCTAACATTCCGACGTAATCATCGTCTTCAGAGGCCGTAAAAGTGGATAGAACCCGCTGTCGCCACATGCGACTGTCAGTAGCGAGTAAAATAATAATCCCCAAATTCTCTCTTGTTTCAACCTCGGCATTCTTGATTTTCGCTACTGACAGTCGCCTGTGGCGACAGCGGATTCTATCCGCTTCGACGGTGTGCCTGGCCTCTGAAGACGACGATTACGTTGAAANTGAACAAAACCCGATTGTAGAATCAAACATTGTGCTTCGCAGATGAGAGAGTCCACTTTCGTGAGGAAGTAAAAGCGGTACAATCCATCAGGTTTGCTGTGCATTGATATTCAGGGCCATACGACAAACGAAACCAGTCCTATTCAATGGGCCTGCAAACAAACCTCTTTGCTTCGTCCAGCGCTCTGGATACGATTTGTCCGAGTCGATTTCGATGTCCTTTCTTTTCTGCAAGCAGTCTTTCGCTTTCTTCGATGTCTTCAGGTTTGATCAACCTCATCTCCTTCTCGGTGAGTTTGAAGGAAGCCAAATGTGACTTTGGTATTACGTCCTGAAAATCATTTCTAATAAAAACGAGCCTAGAACAGTGTGACTTCTAGAACCTGAATTTTAAATGACGCTCGAGTATGTGGTATGTTCTTCTCCATAGGAGCACCGATGTCAGGACATTGGTCGGCCAGTTCCGTTGCCATCATATGAGCTATGCAAGTGTTACGATCCAGCACATAGTTGAGCTCTAAAATGATGCAGTGAGAAAATGCTTAGTTAAAGGCTGTCAGAAATGTTGCTCCAAAACTGCTCGCTTCTCGACAGCGTTGATTTACAAGGGATTCTCACAAAACACAGAAATATGAAAATAAGGCATTTTTTTGATTCAATGAGCTACTGCCAATTTTACTTTAATTCACCCTGGTGTTAACAATCCAAGCACAGCCCTGCAACAAGGTTGCTTCGAGCGGAGCCCTCGTCCCAAGTAAACTTGGTCCACCGTTCATAGATAGAAATGTGACGCAATATAGCCTTCTCAAAAAGCCGATTTACTGCTTTGTTCTAAGAAAAACTGATACGCTTCACTAGAATTCCTCTCTCGAGCCAGCTAATCATTCATTTAGAACCGCTAAACGAAAAAAAAAGTGGGGCTACATAATAACTCATGGATGGTGGAGAGAACGAAAAGGTCCATCCGAAGTTTTAAAACCGATTTTGAATTGATTCCTAGGGTTGAAAAATCAAGCTTAGGACGAGATTCGAGTTGCAGCAGAGCAAGGTGTATAGTGTGTAGCAGCTAACTGTATTTACAGCAAACGTGCTTTACTCAGTCATGACAGCTGAATACGTCCAATCTTGGGAAGATGAGCAGCAGTGGGCGTCGGAATTGTTTTTGAGCCTTTATTACACCCTATGATGGCCTTTCGACTCGAGAATGCAACATATGACACTCTCAGGGCAACTATAAATGTACGGGGTCTGAAGTATGTACCTTTTTTTTACATAAGAGCAGCTGAAATGAATACTCTGCTGAAATGCTAATTACTGACCGAAGTCGTCGTCGTCTTCTCCGAATGGATTCATAAGGAACTGCCCAACTTTCAACCATCCGAGATAGAACAGCATTTGGAAAGTGGTGAAGATCGGGAAAAGGATCGTAATTTCCTGAACATTTCAAAAATAAGTGCTTAACAGGGGAGATCTCTCTGTTCGGCTACCGTCTCCATTGATTTTTGGTCCAATTTCGGCTGGCGGCCGATCAAGCAGATGAAAAAGTAGCCGTATGTAGCGATTGCTACCACCTGAAAAGTCCACTGGTAACGGACAGTCTTGATAATTATGAGAAACCTCTAACCTGTGTGTAAACGAGAGGAATCTTCACCCAGTCATATACGAAAAGCATGGCAAACCCGTCGCGATAACTGTAGACCTGGAAAAAGAATGTTAAGGGTAGTTCGGACGCAGAAGCTGGAGTTATGAGAGTCATCCGATCCAGAACGGTTCTGTACCCCTTCGTGTCAATCTCTGCTTTTTGATCTGATTTCTTTGTTCATGACTTTGCCTATGTTTTACCAATATCTTCTTTAGAGCTTTCAACCTATTGGTTCTTCTGATACTCCGACATGAATTTCACTAGATTAACCAAACAAATATTTAGCAGTGAACACATTCATGGAAAATCTCAGAAAGAGAAAAATGTTCTGGAGGAAATTTGTTGTTGAGCAGAATGATTATTGGAAATTCCACAGCAAATAACTATCCTAAGCATCAGCATTACCTGCTTCAAAAGCATATCCATCTGAATGGTGTCGATTTTCTTGGCCGCATACTGTTTCTTGATCAGATTGACAATCCAGATGATTGGTACAAACCTGAAACATTCTGGTTCTGAAGCAGGGTAGTCGTTCACGCTGACTTAGTTATGTTGACATCAGAAAAGATGGGTCTTCTGCTAAACAAATGAATAGAAAACGATGTTTTCATCAGGTTCGGAGAAAATTCTTTTTCAAAGGTGATTATGATGACCTATTTAAGCGCAAATGGACCCGAAACGATTGGACCGATGGCACGATAATCCTCCCATCTTTATAAATTTCCAAGAAATTGCCAACAATCTGAAGAGTGGCACAGCTTTCTCCCGAACTAATCCTTTACACCATTTAAAAAGCCTCGCTGCGAAAGAAAGTGTGGCTGATTAGAACCCAACCAAATAACGTAAAACAAGATACCAAAGCAATGCAACTTTCGTAACTCTAACTACATATTCCGTTTGTACGTACATGGGAGGTACAAAAAGTTGTTCTTTCATAACTCGTGAAAACGAGACCACCTTGAAATGAAAGTTTGGGAAAGGGCATATTCTCTGAGGGAACGTTCCTCTGCTTTCTCATCCCATAGTCGCAGGTTATGGACCCTTATTTTCTCTACATTTCTATGTGTATCCGTAAGGAGGTTCCCGACTGGCCATTTGGCCACCCATATTCTGTCGTATTTACTACATAGCAGTATGAAACAGCCTATTTTACGAGTTTTAGGTGGCCTCTTCATTCCTCTGTGTGTATGTAAGTGATCATGAATGTACGTTTCCGACTTAATTAACTCAACCGTCTAATAATTCAGTTTTTCAATAACAACAAATCTATCGAGAAAATTATAATTACCGCTCCCGTCCCATTTACCATACCTGGCTTACTGTGGAAATGTAATTGTTCAGGTATATGTGGACATTGCTGAGGTTTGAATATTCAGCTACTTGCGCCAACATTTGTAGAACATTCAACCAAATTTGGTAGGTTGTTGCTAAGGTCTACCGCTATCTCGCAACAATAACCACGCACTAGAACGACCTCAGTAATCCCACTGAACCCTTACTCCCGAACTGTTTACTCTGGACTACATTTCAATGAACGGTCGCACGACGTTTTCGTATTCTTGATTGCATGGAGGAATGCATAACAACTCGACATACAACAATCAGGTTTGGGTCAAGAAGCGCCGTCTCGGTATTGATGAGGAATCAGGGCATCGCGTGCGGTATTCGCACGACAGGACATGTGTTACGATCGCAATTAATCTCTCAAAAACTGCTGTGCACCCACGCTATTTACGGCATCTGTATCGTCTCTTTTGCAAATTTATTGCTCCACTAGCTGAAAAACCAAACCGCGGCTTGCCATTTCAACCACTCTTCAGAAACTTTCTTTATCATTTCCTTTTCAGGTCCTGTTCAGAGAAACTGAAGGAAACTTACCATTTGCCGTGCGGAGCATCGCAGTTCATGTACATGTCGTACTCCTCCTCTGTCATCAATTTGGCTTCAACCATGTGACGCTCCGTTGGAAACCGTTTGAGGGTTCGGACTGAGATACCTGACCAGGCTACGGCAGCCTGAACTACTTTCAATGCAGCGTTAATGCTGAATTGATCAACCAATTACCTGAAGCGATGACCATCTCGCAATTGCTTGACGAATTTCAAGATTTTCTTTGCCAGGTAGACATGCCGAAACCATCATCATCATTTTATCGGGCCAAGAGATCCAGTTGAATTGTTCCCACCTGAATGTTATTCTTACTACCTTTGTCTTGGAAGAAATAGCTGGATCTCACCATCTCGCAACGATCACTGAGACGAAGAAACCGAGAAGGAAGGACAGAGGAATATACTGCGATCCAATCTCACACCAATGAATCCATCCAGTAAAGTACTCCTTTTGCTTCTCGTCTAGCACATACCACTGAAATCATAGTCGGAAATTAGGAAGTCGTAGGTGTCATGATTTGATGCACTGTCAACGGTTTCTACCTGAATTGCTAGGATCACATAGTAACCGATGTAGAAGGCTATGAGATCTTTCAATACGGCTTTCCAAAGCGATCCTCGCCACCGAAGCATTAACGACGAGAACTCCTCGTCGTAAGAGATGGTCATCCTTCAGGAGTTATGCCCAATCCTGAAATAGATTGTTTGTGTCCAATCTAGAAGAGGGTCAAGTATTGCTCTTTGTAAGTACGAAGACAGTTGGAATAATTCCGGCTTCGAAACAATCCGGATGGAGAGAAATGTACACGATTGCACTATCGCGAGATCCTCTATAGCTCATCATTAGGGTGGAGATCCCACGTTTACTGCTTAGTGATTACTATTGCTCTGATGTGAAGACATTCATTGTTACAATGTGGCCAGTAATGACAGTGTTGAGCGATAGCAGGATGACAACAATACAACGCCCCTAGTAAGATTATTCCTGCAAGAATGCAAAGAGAAAAATTACCTATGGGTGAAGTACGACATCGAAAAAACTGTAATACAATTACTACTAAATATATGGTAATACGAACTCTTACTTTTTGCCAATGGATCCCTCCTTCATCCTACTCCAAGAAAAACAGATACAGGTGAAATGCAAAACCCTTAATCTCTGAATGCGACCTATTAACGACCTCCTGAACAATATTGCCCATCTTTCTAAGAGTACGTCTGTCTCTTAAATCTAACGACACACACACTATATTTCCTATCCCAGTTGGAGTTCGGTCTGCTTATCTTTGTAAAATATTGGAGGAGAGGAATAATGATTTTGTCCTTTACTTGACTATCAGAGTGCTCTGTGGAGTAGTTCAATTGGAATCTTGTGTATTAGCACTCAATAAGGGGGAGAGAACACCTGGAATATTCGGTAGTGGTATCCCTTCAACGCTTACTATTAGTAAACCTGCTTCTGGATTCTGAATACCGAAGAAAGCGACATAACTTTACACTTCACCGTGACTTATTGAAGCACATCAAGAAGTAGTTTACAGTGAGCACACTTTAGCTCTTTTAAAAACGCTATTAGAGAGCTGTTGATTGAGCTGTTGATGATAGAGATTGACAATTCTGAAATGTTGTAGTGATGAATGGGATCTTCACTTAGTTATATCATATTGTCCACCTTTGTTGTCAACAGTATCTGTTTGGCCGTCTAAAAACGTACTTTCTACTTCTTCATCTAATCCCTCAGGAAGCAACTCCGTAAAAGCTACCAAAGGAGCAGAATAGTTAAGGATGAAAGTCCTCAAGTATAGTCATTAGGCTATAATCAATTCCATCTAAGGAATGCGCCCCCGCATCGCATTCGACTTTCATTCAGAATCGTAGTGGTGCTTTGACTGCATATGAAGCCTCCACAATGACTTGCGGTGGTCATCCATCGAAGGATGAGTGCTTTTATCGTCCCAGATGAGTCGTAACCAATAACCGACCCCGAAGGGATTGAATCCTTTGGAGGGATGATTAGAGGGATGATTCAAGCTGACATCGAGCAAGAAGTCGAACCAGTGACAATGCGTGTGTGATAGTGCGCCAGTTGCCACCTTACCATCTATGTACGTCTAGAGCGAAGCGGCATTCATTATTTTTGTCTTATCGAAAAGTTACACCATTTCGAAGCTGTTTCTAGATAATTCTTACTAGTTCACACTTTTCACATGTTGAAAACTTTGAAGAAGTTCCTAGAAATTCTTAGAGGGAAGGAGCCTTGCATTTGACGAAGACTTCATTACTGTGTTGCAAGGCTTGTCTTAGGTGTAGGATGGAAACTTATTTCAATGAGATCAAAATTTGGTGAAAGGTATGGAGAGGCGCATTGAAGTCTAGGCAGCTAGTTGAAGAAAATGAGCTTCAGTTTTATCAACAGAATAAATACTACTATCCCTGAGTATCGCTTTCTTTCTTGACTCTCCCTAGTCGATCGGTTGTAGAAACACAATCTGACCCAAGATTGCCTTAAAAGTGGAGTAAATATGAGGATAAAATCATCGGCCTTGATCGAACTCAGTGTGGAATGCACTCCAACTCCAGAAAAGGTATTTAGCAGCGTTTATTCATAGTGCTGCTGAACACCTTTCTGGAGTTGGCGTTGGTGTTTGAGTGGCGTATGAGCTTATGAATGAAGACGGGGATATATGTAAGACTCTAGTATCCGATATAAGTCTGGTGCTACCAAACCACACAATCCGCTCCCAGAGAACTGCAGGAATAACTGTAGCAGGCAAGTAACTGGTAGCGTAACAGTTATGAAAAATGGCAAGTTAATTGGAACAGCATAGGCCTTGCCATCCCTATGATTTCGCATTAGCATGAAATTATGCGCAATGGTCTAAACACATGTTTCCAAGCATAACCTTCACATAATGAGGTTAACTAAGTGTTTATTCAATGATACCGTTTAAATATATATTTAAATATATATGGGGGAGAACCATATAAGCATTGGAAAGATTAAGACTTGATCTCATCACAGTGTACCATATACTCAGTTTTGGCTTTAGTTATGTGCTTTGCATTTCGCAATGGCTTGCAAGATCAAGAGCAGCTCAAGAAGTGCTTTTGCCTTCTAGAAGTAAACAAGTAAAGTCATTAGGCCAAATCGGAACAAAATGAAATTCTCAACCGGTTTTGGCAACTTCGATGCACACCTAGAACAAAAACGAAAGGCTATTCTGGCTCTAGTGACATGATCATCCCTGTGTTTGTAGGAAGACCCCGAAGTCGAGAATGCAAAAAAAAAATGCGGTGCTGCGAATGGATTACTTCTTCTGGCAAACTAGATTAACAATCCATTGATTAATCTCTGCGAGTAATTCACAATATTGGCCCTTTCTATGTTAAAAGCTCGCAGACGCTTGATAACTGAACTAGGACAGACTATCACGTATTTTCAAAATGACACCATCTTAGTCATTGTGGTCTACTGTCATCAACAGTAGCCAATCGCAGTGATATCGCCATGTTCGGTTTCCAGCGCGTAGTTTGATTCCTGCTCACGGCAAAAGGAGATGTTGAGACTAGAGGCATGCGATAGCGCGTCCATATAAAAATTAATAGCTAAGAATTTAAAGAAGACAAAAAAAGGAGCATCTCAGGATCGAGAGAAATCTGTACGCTGATATCTCTGCAATCTAAATTCGGATCCAGTCTACTTGCGGTAATTCAGAAAGGGACATTTTTCTTACTGGGCTCGTTAATGCTATCAAAAGCAACCTTCTTAGCAACTTCTCTTCTCAGTGTTTCCCAATTCTTCTTTCTGGGAGAGGATATGTGATGCTGGGATCTGATCGCAGCGCAACTTCTGGCTAGTTGTCTCGCTAGGCGTCATGCCTACGAGATGGTTTCAAGAGGTAGTCACCTATGTAGGCCTGAATAAGGCCGTTTGAGTATATATTTACTTTTTTTCCCATTTAACTAGTAAGATGAATCGCTTCAGCTTGGAAGCCAACAGAGCTATGAAGGGAAACGTGCGCGTCAAGTCATCAAGACAGCATTTGAAGTGGTGTTCCCTTGAGGTTAATAAAACTCTTTAATTCTAATCTTGAATTCATTTTATAATTGACAAATCAGCTGTCAATAATTCGAAATTGGGTCCTCAAGACGCTGCCTCAGTGAACGAGCGCAAAACAGTGAAAATTGATGGAGTCTTACCTCACCAGCTGAAGCCGCACGTTGGGCCTATGGAACACAGCTTTAGACAGACTTAGGGTGCGCACCTCTTAGAGAGACCCCCACTGACAGTTGTAATGAAACAATATCTCCACTTTTTTCGAAAACAATACAGAGACTGGTTACCCGACACACGAAATTCACATCCCAGAGGCATCACGATGTAGAATACTTATTGGTTGGCTAATCGTGGTTCCCTTGTGACCAATGAAATTTTGAACCATCAAGAAAGGACGTTTATCAATGCACATTGCATTCTCCGGTTCTTCCATGGCCATTTATAATTAAAGGTTGACGAGCATCTAACAAAACTGGTTTCAAACCATGATGAATGGCCCCATGTACAAGAGAAAAAATATCGAGCAGTTCAACAATTTGTCGATTTCTTTTTAGATGCCCTGTCAAACAAACCTATTGAGTAGAATATTTATTGTTGCTGGCCATACGTCTCAACCTTTCCGTTGATGCTTCTGGGTGGAAATGTGCGGATGGGGAGGGGGAGGGAGCAGAGAAGAAACGACCGATCCTTTTCCCTCTAACATTCGGACACTGTGAAATGTATCAAAAAATGGTTCATACTAACACTGCTGACGAAAGGCACGAGCCATTTTTTACCGGTGAACTTTGACTGAGTCTATCGCAATCATAACTACATTTTCAATGCCGCTGACAGTTCATTGCACGCATCTGAGCGTAAAAGGAGTTCAGTCGGTTAATTGCCTAGTGAAAGTGAATAAAGTCATCATTTATTCTCTGATCATGTGGGGCTAGAGTCAGGGAAAACAAGAAGCCTAACAACGTGTTCAACAGAAGGAACAGACTTTGATGAAACACCAACAAAAATCATGATTAAAAGCTATTCGTTCGAGCAATAAGGAAGAGGAAAATTAAATTCTTTCAGAGCGTTCGTAATCCCATATGGTCCTGAATGAGATCCAGAAATGCATCCAGGAGCACGAGGGTAAGCAAAGTATAGAGACGGTTCAGTAAAGGACGCTCACTAGGTTGTTCCCTGGACTCCCGTGGACCATTGTGAGTAAAATATTTTTCGATAGCTGTGAGTTCGATTTATCGTCAATCTGTCTTTTATAGAGAGTGAGAAAGCGCAGCACTTCCTTAAGCTCATGACGAAACATTGCATGAGGAAGTTGTGAGATTCAGAGGAAGAGTGCCGGTCTCTGGTTGAACCGAGAAAGCCGGAAAGGAGTGGGAAACGGTTCATATTTGCAGAATCAGTCATTTCTGGTTGACATCATTGGTAGTAGAAATGCGTATGTGGACAAGATCGTTCAAAGGTCGCATAAATTCACGGAAAGTGCGCCTGAAATGGGTGAACAAACCCATGTTCTCAAGCAAACGTTGACGAAAAGGAAAACCAGTTGTAGAGCGCGCGAATCAATTCCGATCGTCTCCCAAAAACTGCTCAATCAGTTGTGGAACGACTAACTTGA